CACCAGCCGCCCACCCCCACCTCCCCTCTGCTTCAGCCGCATGGGCCTCTTTGTTGTTCCCCGGACCTGCCAGGCACGAGCCCCCTCGGGCCCTGCCCTCTGCCCACCATGCTGTTCCCTAGAGACCTTCAGAGCTCAGCCTCCCAACACTCCTAGCGGCTCTGCCCTCTCCAGCCTCCGGTTAGCCTTCTCTGGAGCCCCCAGCACTGACCGCCAGCCCACCCCATCTGCAGGGCCACACTGCCTCCCACTTTGCAGGGGGCTCCCTGGGGCAGGCCTGCCCTGCTCAGAGCTCAGCATCAGCATCTTAGCAAACACTGGCTTGTTTCTCGGTTGAACAAGTGAGAAGCAACATGGAGGGGAAGGGCCCAGAATCCTGTGGCCACCACGTGGCCAATGGTTTGAGGAGGAGCTTGGTGGGGGGGGCCTCGTGGCTCAGCAGGTTGAGCCACGTTTGCGACACCCACATCCATGTCAGGGCGCCATTTCAAGTCTCAGCTGCTCAGCTTCCCAGCCAGCTTCCTGCTAATGCGCCTGGGAGGCAGGAGATGACGGCTCAGGTACTTGAGACCCTGCCACCTAAGTGGGCGCCCTGAGCGGAGTTCTTGGCTCCTGGCTTTAGCCTGGCTCAGCGCTGACTGTTGGCAGGCACTTGGGAAATGAACCAGAGGAGGGAAGATTCCTCTCCTCTCTCCGCTCCCCTCCCCTCCCCTCCCCTCCCCTCCCCCTCTCCCTCCCCCTCCCCTCTCTCTGCTTTTCCAGCAAATGAAAATAAAGACATCAACATTAAGGGTGGCCCAGCCTGGCACAGAGAAAGCACTCGCAAAGCCTGCTCTTTCCTCCCGTTCCCAAGAGGGAGGCTGCCTCGGCTCTTCTGGGGGGGTGGGGGGGTGGAAAGACCCTTCACAGGCAGGCTAGGGAGGCCAGGGGGCTCCGAGCTGGGACCTCAGCTGGCCTGGGGCAGGACACCTCGGAACCACGCGGCCCAGGTATAAATCCCAGCTCTGTTAGTTTCTACCTGTGTGATCTTACGCATGTCCTCAACCTCTCCGTGCCTCGGTTTGCTCATCTGCAGAATGGGTTGTTGCAAAGAGGAAATGCAGAACAGGAGGGCATAGCTCAGCAATTAATTAATAAGTGCTGCAGACGTACCCGCGGCTGTTGCTGTTCTGGTTGTCGCAGCTATTACTGCTGTCAGCACAGACCAGGTGGCTGGCACTGGTCCCCCCTGCACATCCCCAGCCGTCACGCACCACCTTCCCTCCTGGAGCTCCCAGCCCCTGGGAGCAGCCGGCAGTAAATTTTTTCCATCTCCTCATAAACCCAGCTTTCCTGCACTCAGCCATCACCTGGCTGGCAGTGCTGTCACAAAGACGGATGCCACATCCGCCTTGTTTATGACTTTAATTCCCAAGCCATGTTCCGTGGGCCGCAGGGGAGGGGCCGGGAGAGGAGAAGGGAGGCGGGCGCTGCCCTCCCACGGGCTCGACAGCAGCAGACATGCCCCTCGTGGAGACCTGGCCTGCCTGGGAGTGCGGGGGGTTTGGGGGGGTGAGCAAGCACGTGGGGCAGCTCAGCACCCAGGCGGCACTCTGCAGAGGGCAGGGCTCCCGGGAGGACGCGTGCGAGCAGCAGGAGTCCCATTTTACAGATGGGAAACCGAGGCCTCGGAAGGTCACACGGCTGGGAAGTGGCAGCCCCCCAGGAGGCCGACGCTTGAGAACCGGTGGGTGCCCACCCCAGCCTCACCGCTCGGGTGCCCCCAGGCCAGCTCTCCAGCTGCCAGCACCTGCGGCTCTTCCAAGGGGTTCTCAGCCCAGAACACTGCACATCCCCGGCCCCTTGGCGCCCCCAGTTCCGTGGCTCTTGGTTCCCAGGGGGGCTAAGCACAGCGCAGTCCACAGCGCCAGCAGTGACAAAGATGACAAAGTTACGCCTTTGTCGCCGCCTCCCCTCCTCTTTCCTGGACCCCTTCCCAGACAAACCTTGCCTTGAAGTCACCCCACTCACAGCAGCACGAGACGCTCTCTCCCCGCTCTGGGAAGGTCGCAGCGCCCTCACAAAGGTGAGGATTTGGCAAGGCAAACGACAAGCAAACACGACAGTGGCACGGGCTCACGGTGGGATCGCGGTGGGACCGAAAGAGGCAGAGGCCCACGGTAGAATGTCGGCACCCGGACAGCAGAGTGGGCCGGCCCCGGGAGAGGCGAGTGGAAGCCAGCCTCCGGGCCGGAGCCGGAGCTGAGACCAAGCTGTCAGCGAGACCTCACAGCACCCTGGGTGGGCAAGGGCAGAGATGGGGGTGGGGGCAGGGTGGGCTGAAGGGGGGGCAGGGGAAAGCGGAGGGACCTGCCCTGGAGCCAGGCTGCCTGGGTGTGCACCTAGCCAACCTCCTAGCGCTGTGGTGTCCACGAGCTGCCTCAGTTTCCCCTGCTGTAGAATGGGTGTCACCCTACAACCATCAACACCGTCCCCCTCAGGAACCCAACAGCAGCAGACTCTGGCTGATGAACTACCCGCCTCCCATCGGCATCTCATCCTTCCCTCTTCCTGTCTCTGTCAACCACAAGTATTTATCAGTTCTTCTCAGCCAGCCTTCACACACGGTCCTCACAGCAACCCCCCGAGATGGGTGAGGCCTCCCCGGTCCTGCACACAAGCATCTGAGACTCGGAGACAGTGAGTAACTCGTCCAAGGTCCCACAGCAGGGAGGAGGCAGGGACCCAGCCTCTGAGATGCACCTGCGCTGGGTCCCTGCCCCGCCCTCCTCCCAGGTGCCCAGTCCAGCTCTCCTGGACTCCCAGCGGCCGGCTCAGCTCAACCCTGGACAGGGCCATGGGAAGCCAGGGCTGCCTCCCCTCCGCCAGGGTCTCAGGTCCCAGGAACATTCCCAGCAGTGCCCCCACCTCAGCCAGAGACGGCCAGGCTCTCAGTGCTGAGTCGGGCCCACGAGGACTCTGCCCTGCCCCCACCCCTGGACTTCAGATGCAGCCAGGAGGAGCCGGTCAGCTGTAAGGTGCTGTCCCCCCACCCTTCCACGTCCATCCGTCCTCCCCTCTGCCTGGGTGCACTGTCTCCCGCCCATCACGCACCTCTTCCTCCAGGCCACAGGGTCCCACCTGGGCACTTTTTCCAAAGTCCTGCTGCTCAGGTTGCCCCCAGTATAAAGGAAATCTGGATACTGGAGGGAGGGCGGGAGTCGCACAGGAGGATTTGTGAAAGGTGTTCCATGAGTGAACGGGAACCAGCAGGGAACCCCGGCTTCAACCCCCAAGATGCAGCCCAGGCCCCAGGCCTGCGGTGGGTCGGTCCGGGTGGTGGGGGCGGGGCACTGGTACCAGGATAGCTTTCACAGCTCCCCAGCTGCCTCTCAGGCACAGCCAGGCTGGAGAGCTACCACTTCACAGTTCAGAGAGTGCCTCCATTAGCGCGCTCTCTTGCTCCCTCCCCAGACACCCTCCGGGCTGGCTCGCTATCCACCCCATTTCCCAGACGACAACACAAAGGCCCAGAGAGCTCATCGAGCCGGCCCTGGGCTCACAGCAAAGCACTGTACTTTCTGAAACCTGCTCCAGTCCCCCTTCCCCTGCTGCCCTGCCCTGAGCTGAGGAGGGGAGCCTGCACGGAGCCCACAGGCACTGGCGACCAAGCCTTCTCCCCTGCCACCCCTCCCAGACAGAGGGGACTCCAGAAGACCCCTCAGCCTCGACAGCCTGGAGCTGTCCACCTCGCCCGACTTCCCGTGGCAGCCAGCCCAGCCCCAGCCCTCGGCCGGATGCCCACACAGATTCTGAGACCTCCATATCCTCACGTGTAGGTGAGAACCATAAGGGTTCCTAAGGTCGAGAGTGAAATGAGATGATGTCTTTCCAGTCTGGAACTCAGCAGGTGCTTAATAAACCGTGATGTCCGTGCTTATTAGTTCACTTAGAAACGTGTAAACCCCCAGCCACGTAAGACCCAAGTGCACACACACACACACACACACACACGTGCACTCACCCACACTCACTCTGCACCCAGGCACAGTGGCTTGGGCTGGGAACCTGCCTGAGGCCCCAGGGGATATGGCCACCAGGGGGCAGCACACTTCCAAGCTGTGGCCACCCACATGGGCGCACCAGCGTGAGCGCCCCGCATGCACACACACACACACACACACACACTCCTCTCCTGGAGCCCTGCTCCCCTGTCTATCACCCCTGGCCCTTCCTGCCCTCAGGAAAGCTGTGTCAGTCTGGGAGGAAACAGGGGAAGGGGGACTATCCTGGGGACTGAGGGCCTGGAGCTGAGGCCTGGGTTCGAATCCTGCTCTACCGTCTTCCATCCGTGGGAACCACGTCCCTTTACTTACCCCCTGTAAAGTGGACCAGTCATCCCCATGGGGGCCTCCGGTGTTGCCTGTGCAGGAAGGCCTTCAAAGGCACACTGCTCTCCCCCAAACACTCCCCACTCCTGCTCTGTTCCAGCTGACCTGTCTTCTTATCGTCTGAAACCCCTCTTTCGCTCACTGCTATATCCACCATGCTCGGGCCAGGGCCAGGCCCATCCTGCTGTGTGTAGAGTGACAGCTGCACAGGTTACAGGTGGTTTTCTGCAAAGTGCCCAGACCGGTGAAGGTCAGGACTGGACACAGGGCTGTGGGGTCACTCAGTTCTGTGGGTTCCCCCAGGGATGTGCAGATGAACCCCAGGTGGTCAGAGGCCTCACTGATGGCTTGTCACAGCAGAGGTGCACTGCTTCCTAAGACCCCCACCTCCCAGGACCCTCAGGGTCTCACCCTAAAAACCCGTGGCCCCGCCCCTACAGGCTCCGCCCCTGGCCTCCCAACTCTGTCTCCAGGCGTGGGGACATTGGCATGAGCCCACCCTCCACGGATATCAGCCCTTAGAGCTCCCTAACTCTGGGCTAGGCCCTCCCAGGATCCCCCCACCCCAGCTCGGTCGGGCCCCGCCCCGCAGCCCGCCCCCGCCCCGCCCCTTGCCGCGCGCAGGCTCACTGGTGCACTTCTTGAGGTGGCTGCCTTTCTTGAGCGCGTGGCGGCTCAGCTTGCAGTGGAAGTTGTCCTCCCAGAACTCGGCGAACCAGATGTTGCGCCGGTTGTTGTCCAGCGTGCGGCTGGAGAAGTAGCGGTCGAAGCCTGCAGGACAGCGCAGCGGCATGTCAGGGCCCAGGGAGGGAGGGAGAGAAGGAAGCAGGGAGGAGCAGCCTCTGATGGGGCGCAGCCGGCAAAAACAGAATTGGAGCATTTCATTTCATTCCAAATGAAAAGAGCTGTATTAGGTCTCCGGGGCCGCGTGTGTAATCTACAGCTGCGGCTTATGGCAGTTAAGTGCCTCGGAGGCGGTGTTTCTGCGGCCTTGCTGATATCCGAGCCGCCTGGGGGGCCTGGGATTAGAGTCGGGGTGGGGGTGGGGCCACCCTGGGAGCCCCTGCAGGGGAGACCTGGCTGAGAAGGTGGGCACCACCCAGGGCACAAGCCAGGCGGCCTCGGGAACCAGACCTCCCCTTCTCCGCCCATCAGCACAGGTGCTGGCTCTCTTCTCCACTGCCCTGCAGGCTCGCAGCCCACAGCTCTGCTGGCAACCGGGAATCCAGTCCTAGGAGGTCGGCTAGTGTGCGCAACGCCCCCTCTCCCCTCCCGGGCGCCCCTTCTGCAACACTGGCTACTCTGGGCAGTTGACCGAGCTGCTTAGGGCAGCACAGCAACCCGGAAGTTCAGCGGGACAGTGCAAGTGGTGAGCGTCCTGGCCACAGAAGGGCCGAGCAGGGGCCGCTGACCAATGGTCAGAGCTGCAGACAGAAGGCATCGCCTCACACTTCGGGCCGGGTAACTTTGTGTTGGGGTTGGGGGGGAGCGGGGCACTGTGGGAGCAGCATCCATAGCCTCTACCCATTAGATGCCAGTCACCTCCCACCACCTGTGCCAACCAAAAATGCCTCCAGGCATCGCCAAATGCCCCTTGGATGGCGGAACCACCCCCGAGTGAGAACCAGTGTCTAAAAGCTACTCGAGTGTCCCGGGGCGGAAGTGTGTGAGTCCAGAGTCCAGGATTCAGGCCCAGCCCTGCCACTTGCTGTGCTGTGTGTCACTGAAGTCCCTCTGAGCCTCCGTGTGCCACCCCCTTGGGGCGAGGGGCAGGCTGAAGGACGCTGCCGGGGCCTGGCATTTGGAAGGCACAGCCAGTAAGCCAAGAGCCGCCGGCACGGGGTTCCCATCTGCTCCGGCTGGGAAGCAGGCGAGAAGGGCCGTGTGGAAGCTTCCACTGCCTCCAGGTTGAGAGGGGTCACTGCGGGGTGACCTCAACTAAGCCCCCCACACACACACAGGCCTGGGGCAGAGTGCTGTGGCCCCTCCCAGCTCGGCCAGTGCTGGGTTCCGCTGGGCGGAGCTCTGAGTTCCGTCCTGGGAGCGCAGGCAGGCTCTGCAGGGAGACCCTGCGCCCGCACGCAGCAGCACCCTCTCTCCCAGTCCTGGGGCAGCCGGCCTCGCCCCTCCACCCAGCCGGAGGAGGGGAACGGGAACACAGGGGCTGGGGGGTGAAAGAGGTTCCTTGGGGCCGCCCGTGCGTGCTGACCACCTCCCACACCTGAAAAGACCCGAGGAGCAAAGGCTGGGAGCCGCGAAGAGGAGAGGGGGGATGCAGGAGAGGAAGGGGGTGAGGGGACCTGCGGAGGAGCCGCCGGTGAGGGGCCGGGGTGGCGGTCCCGGGGCCGGCCGGGCCTACCTCGCACAGACATTCTCTTAGGGAGGATGGTGACGGCGCCCTCGGCCACCTCCTCCAGGTGCAGCACGGGGGCGCTCTTGGAGCCCCAGCTGTCGGAGCCCATCCAGAAGAAATGGCCCGTCTGGTTGGCCCTTCGGGCTGCCTCCAGCACACGCCTGTGGGAACATGCACCAGCCAGCCCAGCCGTGTCTGTCCACACAGCTGCCCCCGCCTCCGGCCATACCTGCCCCCGGCCCACAGACTATGCCTGGGCCCCCCCCAACCCCTCTGCCACACGAGCCCAGGGCCCACGGCTGCTCCAGAGCCCCCAAGCCTGGCCTACATCTGCCCACAGCCCACAGCTGTCTGTCATCCCTACCTGTCCCCCAACCCAAGCCTGTGTCTCTCTCATACACACATACATACACATGACCCCACCCCCCTACACCCTCACTCCTCCAATCCCCTTCTGTGCCAAAAGTCCGGGTCCCCCTAAGAGCTACTCCTCCACATGGGGCTGCCAGACGCTCCTACTGTGCCAGCAGCCTTCAACCGCAGACCCCAGGGCCAGCACTGGGCCCGGGAGCTCCTAGGAGGCGCTCAGCCACAGCCTACTGGCCACATGAATGAAGCGGCCCATGGAGGGGAAAGTGGGGAGGAAGGTCAGAATTCTCCTAACCCTGCTCTGCACAGGGGAGAGTGGAGCCGAGCACAGGCAAGAGGCTTGCAGGTGTAGGGGAGGCTGTGACGTTAGAAACCCCAGGGCCTTCCCACATCCAAGGGCCCTGGCCCTCAGTCTGGCCGGGATCAGGACTTGGGTGGAGACGAGCTGGGCAGGAGGGCTTGGGGCTTCTGGAGCCCGCAGCCGGGGCTGGGACGGCTGGGTCCGTCTGTGGTCTAGCCTCGCCCAGCCCCTGCCTCCGCCAGTCCCCTCACAGGTGCACCCTCCCTTCGGTCACCCCTCAGGGGAGATGGGGCTCCTCCCAGAACCCACAGCCACAGCCCTATTAATATCACCGCGTCTGGCCAGCCCCAGACGGCCAGAGCGCCCAGCCGCCCTCCTGCAGCGTCACTGGCATTTATTTTAGCTTCTGTTCCTTCTGAAAACGTACGTGGATTCCCAGAAAGGCCCCCATCTCCCAGCACACTTCCCGCACCTGCCGGGCACCGAGCTCAGCCCCTTCCTGCCCTCTGCCCCGGACTTCCTGTCTGCCACAGGGACCAGCCCTTCACCCCACCTCCAGCACCTGCAGGCCCCTGCAAAGCAGCAGCCCCAGGCTGGGGTACAGAGCTGGGAGTGCGGGAGGGGTGGCAGAAGTCAGGGAGCAGGGGCTGCAGCTCAGAGGGGCCCCTCCTGTGCAAAGGCGGGCCGGCCGCGGCCGTCAGGGCTCCCTGAGAACTGGGCTGTGCCTCCCCCTTCGGACTGGGGCTCCCTGAGATGGGGCTGTCTCCCCCCTCAGACTGGGGCTTCCTGAAGTTGGGGCTGTGCCTCTCCCCTCAGCCTGGGACTCCCTGAGGATGGGGCTGTGCCTCCTCCCTCAGATTAGGGCTCCCTAAGGATGGGGCTGTGCCTCCCCCCTCAGACTGGGGCTCCCTGAGGGCAGGGCTGTGTCTCCTCTCTCAAGGGCTCCCTGAGGATGGGGCTGTGCCTCCTCCCTCAGACTGGGGCTCCCTGAGGATGGGCCTGTCTCCTCTCTCAGACTGGGGCTCCCTGAGGATGGGGCTGTGCCTCCCCTCAGACCGGGGCTCCCTGAGGATGAGGCTGTGCCTCCCCCCTCAGACTGGGGCTCCCTGAGGATGGGCCTGTCTCCTCTCTCAGACTGGGGCTCCCTGAGGGCAGGGCTATGCCTCCCCCCTCAGACTGGAACGCCTCTGAGCCTGATCTGTGTCCCCTCTCAGCCAGTCTCAGGGAGGTAGCAGGAGAGAGCAACCCAGAGGAAGGCGGGAGGATGGGGGGGGGGGGCGCTCGGTCAGCTTCTCCAAAGCACGGAGTTTCTGACCTGCGGCCCCTGCACTGAGGGGTGGCCCGGGGTCCCAGCCCGCTTGCTGCTACTCTGCACATAGATACTGAGGCCCGGGGCGACTGGGGTCCTGCCCAAGTGAGCGGGCGCTCACACCAGGACGAGACCCGCCGCGGCCCAGAGCCCTGCCCGGTACTCCGAGCTAACCAGGGGAAGGGGCACAGGGCCAGGGGGCGGCCGCCCCTTCCTGGGACCCACCTGCCGCCAGGCCCAGCTCTGAGCCCTTTCTGCACACCAGCCTTGGGTCCTCAAGCCCTTACCGCAGCCGTCACCAGCTCAGGCGGGGTCAGGCTTGCCTGGGGAGGGCCCAGCCCACCCTGCCCGCTCCGCAGCCGCCTGTCCTCACCTGATGTCGTCCTCGTTGGCAAAGATGATGACGCCCCTGGCGTTCGAGGTCTCCAGGAGGCGCCGGATGATCTTGTCGAACTCGCCAGTCTTGGGCTCCCGCGGGATCTTCACCGACTGGGCGATGCACACGCCCCCTGCAGAAGGGACGCGGTGAGTCCCTCCGCCGTCCCCAACACGCGTGCTGGGGGGGGGGGGCTGTCCAAGACCCCTTACCCCTCCCACCTGCCGCCTGTCTCCCAACCCCGGATCTGGGTCTCTGGATGGCTGCAGCCCCGCCCCGCTCACTGGCTGGGGACCTGGACATGAAACTGAAGTTCCCCAAAAGGTAGCTGGGGGCAGCAAGAGGTGGGACTTAGGGGCCAGATGCCAGGGTTCAGGTCTCAGCTCTGCCGCTTCCCTCTGTGTGGCCTGGGTCGGGTGACTGAACCTCTCTGTGCTCAAATACCTCACCTATTAAAGCAGAGACCATAGCACTGCCTATGTCACAGGGCTGCCCCAGAAGAAGGGAGCTCACGGGACAGGTGCAATGTCCGTGGACATGGGTCTGAGAATGAGCGTCCACCCGGGCTGTCAGTGCCCCCACATCCGTCCACCAGGGGCCCGTCCCTGGGACACTCGGCAAGAGCACCGTGCGTGGCCGCTAGCTGCAGCCATCCTGAACAGGGTCCACGGTGGTGCTGCCAGGCCCCGCGCCAGGGCCCAGCCCCACACGGCTTCACATGCTGCCAGGGACAGGAGTCACTCGCGTCTTGAAATCCCACCCGCTCTCCTGGTACAAATGTACTTGTGTCACCGGAGCCCAGAGACAGGGCTGGGCCAAAGCCACAGGGCCCCTGCCCTCCTGTGGTCCAGACCTGGGGGGGTGGGTCAGAAAACAAGACACCCCCCCCAGGCTCCCCGGGCCCTGGGGGCAGAGGAAAAGCAAGAAGACAGACAGACCCTAGCCCCAGCCACTGCCCACCGAAAGTCTCAAAGCAACCACCCTGGCTGGGCACCCCTGGGGCTCCCTGAAGATGGGTCCAGGCTGGAGCCACCTGGGCTCTCCGTATGGGTGAAGGGAAGCTGGGACACACTTCCCCTCCCCATCCTCAACCCCCACTCCCCGCCAGCTCCAGGGACAGGAAAGCTGCAGCCAGGGAAGGCTGCCCGAAACGGTGGTACTGAGCCAGGCCCTAGGAGGCGCAGCAGCCAGGTACGGGGGCACACTGGGGAGCCAGGCGTGCTCCCTGGGGAGTGGCCGCTTGGTACCAGGCACCCTGCTGGGCCCAGGGCCACAGAACACACACACGTATGCACACACACACACACACAATCTAACACACCCTGGAAGTCCCAAGTACTGAGAAACGCACGGCCACCAGGAGCTCGCGGGGAAGGGAGCGGCGGAGCACAGGACCCGGGCAGCACTGGCCCTGCCGGCGCCAGCAGGCACTCAGCTCCCAGCTAAGCCCTCCATATGGTTTCTTTCCAGTTAGAAAGTGGGCCAATTGCGCCACGTCTCCCCCCATCTGGGAAGACAGATGGACAGGCGGAAGAGGCTGGGCTGGGAGGGGCCGGAGGGGGCGGATGCGCGCGGGCGGCCCGGGCTGGAGTTAATTGCTCTCAACAGGGAGAAGCTGTGAGGTTAAGTAACACTTCTGGGCAACACTCCTCGCTGCAGGATCCCGATCCACATGCTGCGCCCACCCAGCCCCTCGGGGCCCATCCTGCGGAAAGGATTAGGGCGACCAAGACTGGATGGGGAGGATGGGCTGTCACAGGGAGCGGTCTGAGCAGGACCTGACATTCCTGCATCCACGAGGAGGGGCCCTGCAGTGCTAGGGGCTCGGTAACTCCCCAGGACGCCCTTCCCAACCCTCCCCACCCTGCCCCTTCAGTCCCACACTAAGAACCCATGGGTCCCTCCTGACCACAAGTACAGTCAAAGGAAGGGCCACAAGCCTGGGCCACAGAGCCTGGGCCACAGCCTGCTCCCTATCTCAGCACCGGCTACCACCCTCCACCTCCCTCGGGCTCTGACGGGACCACAAAGCCGGAATCGGGAGTCCTCACTGCCCCCCCCCCACCGCTCCAGTCCTCCTGGGTCCTCCTTGACAAGTCCCTCTCACAACTGCCCAGTCCTTGCCCAGCCCCTGCTGCCAGGGCTCCCGCCGCCTACCATGTGCCGGCGACAAGCTCCACCAGCCCAGCCAAGTCAGTGCCAGGGCCAGGCAGCCACAGGCACCTGCCAAGAACATCTGAGAACAAGAAGGCTGCGGACCTCAGAGAGGCGCCGGCCCTAGCTGCACAGGGAAGAGAGACTGAGGCCAGAGAGGGGCAGAGCCCTGCCCGGGGGCACCCAGCAGCTGGGACGGAGCCCACCTGCAGGCGAGGTTTAGGCCAGCCCGGTGACTGCTTCCCTGCGGGAGCCACTGCTCTCCCAGGCTCCCGTGCCAGCCCAGCGGCCGGAACAGACCTGTCCTCGGCCCCACCAATCCAAGCGCGTCCACTAGAACACTCTGGAGACCCACGCGGCCGAGGGGCTGGGCAAGCCGGCACCTCCCGTTCACGTTCGATCCCGGGCGCCACGTCCCACGGACACACAGATGTCCCCGGCAGCACTGCTGGGGCTGCAGCAAACCAGAAACAACCCGACTCCGTTACAACAGAAGAACGGGTAGAACGGTGGGATCCTCCGATGGGCTATTACACGGTTACAGAGAATCGCACAGCTGTCACAGATCAGCAGGACGAATCCTGAACGCACACAACTGACTGAGAAAAGCAAGCTACAGCACAATCTGTCCTGTTTATGTAAAACTTAGGGAGGACTACAGTATGTATTATGTATGGGCAGGCATGGCCCAAAATACGAGGAAAAGCTGCAGGGCGGCAGATGTTGCCTGTGGAATCCGCTGCGTTCTCCCCGATTCCCGGGACACTGCTTGGCACGTAGTAGGCGCTCATTCATTGTTGAACGACCAGATAAGGACAGGAAGGGGACTCAGCACCTTCAGAATCACGGTTGCTTCAAGAAAGAGAAGGGGACAGCGTGGGCCTCGTGGTGAGTGGATGATCCACCACTCGGGATGTCCATACCCACGCCGGTCAGAGGGCCTGGGTTCGAGTCCTGGCTCCAGCCCCCATCCAGCTTCCTGCTAATGCACACCCTGGGAGGCAGCAGCTGACGACTCAAGTATTCAGTTCCCTACCACCCAGGGTGGGCACCTAGATTGCCTTCCGGGCTCCTGGCTTCAGCCTGGCCCAGCCCCAGCTACTGCAGGCATTTGGGGACTGAGCCAGCAAATGGAAGCTCTCTCTCCGTTGGGACTAGGATTGAGGAGGGCTCCATGCGGGGAGCTTCCAGCCAACCCAGATTTTCTTTCTTTAACAAGTGATTGGAGCCAGCGCCGCGGCTCACTAAGCTAATCCTCGGCCTTGCGGCGCTGGCACACCGGGTTCTAGTCCCGGTTGGGGCGCCGGATTCTGTCCCGGTTGCCCCTCTTCCAGGCCAGCTCTCTGCTGTGGCCCGGGAGTGCAGTGGAGGATGGCCCAAGTGCTTGGGCCCTGCACCCCATGGGAGACCAGGAGGAAGCACCTGGCTCCTGCCTTCGGATCAGCGTGGTGCACCAGCAGCAGTGCGCCAGCCGTGGCGGCCATTGGAGGGTGAACCAACGGCAAAGGAAGACCTTTCTCTCTGTCTCTCTCACTGTCCACTCTGCCTGTAAAAAAAAAAAAAAAAAAAAAAAAAAAACAAAAAACAAACAAACAAAAAAAACACACACACACACACACACACACAAGTGATCGGAACCAGAAGCAAATCCATAGCATGTAGATCTTTGGTAAACATAGCTCCTAGAATCCAGGCTTAGACACGGGCAGCAGGAGGGGTGCTCCAGCCTTCACGGGGTATTGCTGGTGGGAAAACGCACCAGGACACACCACCCAAGCTTCACCGTGAGCCCCTGGGAAATGCGTGCACACAGGTGCATCTCCAGGGCACTTCAGAGCAGCTGTCTTCCTCCTCCGCACCAGCCAGCGACCCCCTCCCCTCCCAGCCTCCAGCTCCTGAAACGCCACCTCCCCCTGAGGACAGGCTCTTCCCTGGCCAGCCCTCCCCTGGCCGCACTGGGCCCCTCGGCCTCCCCCAGGCCTCAGGTGCCTGCCCTGCCATGAGATCCCCAGCAGCTGCAGCTGTGTCCCTGCTGTATCACGGAGCCTCGACGCCCTTTGCGTTTGTGGTCTGGTGACCGGTCCAGCTGACGGATCTGCGTCCGTGTCAGCCTCCAGCTGCGCTCCCCAAGGACAGGTCTGTCTGTCCATTCATCTGTCGGTCACTTTGCCTTTCCTTCACAAAGTGCCTCGCCAGGGTCCGGGCACAATCAGTCCTTGAGAAGTCATAGCAAGGAAAAGCCTTCCTGGGTGCGCACAGTCTGGTGGGCAGGCAAGACCGGAGGGCAGAGCAGTCAAGGGACGGGGCCCGCGGGTGGCTGGGGCACACGGTGGCAGTGCGTGTACTGAGCACAGCCCCCACCCCCCGCCCCACGTCACCCTGCTGCACAGCCACCACTACTGTCCCTTTCCTGAGTCAGCATGTTCCCTGAGCACCCACTGGGTGCCTGGCACGGCCTCGGGCACTGGACTGCAGCCGTGAGGACCCCAACTCCCACCAGCCCACGTCCTGGGGTGTGTGCAGGGCGGGTGTTGGACAGCAGACACCTGGGAATGGGTGCAGAGGGGGAGACCAGTCGTGGGAAGTGCAGGAGGGCGTCCGGGGGCTGCACCCCCACTCCGCCTGCCGTCCCCACCAGCGGGAGGCTCAGCTGGGCCCCGCAGCTCAAGGGGCAGAAGCTGCTACCTCGCCTGCACCCAGGCTTGAGAACACTTGACGTAAATCCTGCCACCCAGCGAGCTCGCTGCCAAGATGAACCCACTCCTCCGAGTTCCGCAGCTGGGACTGCTCGTGCCCGAGGCGTCTCCCCGAGGCACCCAGAGGACTCGGGTCTATGCACAGGCCCCACTGCACCTGCGCTCGGCTCCCTCCTCCCTCCCCCCTCCAGCCTGAGTAGGCGGGACCCTGCGAGCCCCACGCCATGCCAGACCTCCCTTCTCAGCCCTGATGACCCCGGGGTCAGGGATCTGGACTCCACCT